CAGTTCAGAAGGGCTGTGGCCAAGATGGACTGACATGAACAGGAAGGCTCCTGAGCCAGAGGAATGGAGGTGACAGTGGCTTTTTCTGTGGGCTGGCAGCAGTGAGAGGTGGGAGCTGGGCCCTTGGCTGGCTCAGCACCTGGAATGGCATCTTGGCCGTGGTGGCATGTCCATTGCTGGCAGTGGGCACTGCACTGGGTAAAAATGGCTCTTGGTGTTGGTGGGAGTGCGTGGAATACAGACACTAATTTGTGAACTGAATCCAGAGGGGACAAATGGAGATGAACAGTACAGTCCTCTCCCCTTCTCTTCCCCCAGGGTACTCTGGCGAGTTTGTCTGATTCAGGGTTGTACACAATCAGCTGTGAGCTGGTTGGGCATTTACTGCTTCTCTAGAGAACGAGGAAAGGGTGAATAAAATAATTATTAGACTGAAGAGTTGTGCCACCCCCCCGGGGGTGGGATGTTCTTCCAAATGCCATGAGGGTGGGAGAGGGGACCTCTGCTGCTCACTTGGCTTTTCCTCGATAAAAGACTGGGAAAGGGGTTTGCCTCATATGTGATAATGCTTCAGTGTTTTGGCTGAAGTCCTATTAAAGATTTATCCACAGGGTTGGAGATTTAGGAGAGGACAGGGTGGTTATACAGCACTTGATAATTAAGGGGTTATCATAAGTTTCCATGTGTCCTGTCACTGTTTTTTAAGGAATCTGGCAAGGTCTGAGTGGAGAAAATATCCTTGCAGTCCTGTGCCTGTATTAAAAACCAAACTTCCATTCTGTTGTAGCTGAGGAGGAGGAGGACAGGATCTGTCCTTGGAAGCAGGTTCTGCGTAGCAAGGTCATGCTGCTTACTGTGAGCCCTGTGGTACGTGGGGCCTCTGGGCATGTTGGGCTGAGGAAAGAGGTGTTTGCTGGGCTTCCCAAGTTACCAGAAGTAACCTGAAGAGTGGAGAGAGCCCTGAGCTGTGGTGGTTGTTCTCCATCTCATCTGAGAGAGCTTCCTGCTGCTCTGTGTGACCACAGCTCAGCGCTGCTGCTCTGTGCAACACCAGCTGGTCAGTCCCACCGTTCACCTGGTCTGGCTGTGGCTGAGCTCAGAAGCTGTGAGCACTTCCAGAAAGTTTTCTGCCATCCCAGCAACTGCCACTGCGATGTTCTGCTTTGGATGGTCATCCTGGGGTCCTCACTGATGGTTTTGCTGTAGCTAGGGAAGAGTTGGTGCAGGTTGGCTTTCCAGGCCAGGCTTGCAGCACTCGTCTTGTGCCAGTCCTGTCATCCTTCAGCACTTCAGCCTGTGCTGCCCATGAGCTTGTGGCCATAAAACCTGTCACCTTGGGATAAGAATCTGTGTCTCCAGAAGGAAAGCAGCTTTGTCGCTGTTTCCAAATTGAACAGCTTTTCATCAGTGCTCAGTTCAGCCAGAATGGTCCTTCATGTAAGGAGAGAGCTCCCTTCCCAAAGTGATTATGGATTACTGGATTTGTGAGCAAGGGCAGCAAAATGTCAGTTAAAGCCCTTTTCCTTGATTTGTCTGTCAGGATCTCTTTAGCTCTGCAGTGTGGTGGGCAAGGAGAGAGCTGTTTCTTGTTCTTGCACCCAGGTCACACCTGATCCAAGAATGTCAGGGAGAGAGTTTATCTGAAAAACGCAGGTTTATTTTGTTAAAGTCTTTTTCTTCCTTCATGAGCAGAGTATCTTGAAAGCAGAACGTAACTGTTTACCTGAGACTGAATTTTATGTTCTTCTGTCTCTCTTCTGGACTTGGACACATCACAGACCTGCCCCAGAGGGATGAGGTGATGGGATGGAGATATGTGGATCTGGAGTTATTTATTGGAGTTACTAGTCAGGATGGTAATGCACAGCCAGCTCTGAGGACACTGGTGAGAAGCTTGTGCCTCTTTATCATTGTACTTGACAACAGAACACGCTGTAGAAGCTGTGGGTGGTGCCTTAGAGGTGCCCATGGGGCAGGAGCGCTGGCATCAGCTGTTCCCCAGGAAATTTCAGATGATTTACCCAAAGGGGAGATGGTGAAGCACATGGTGGTGGCTTGTAGCATTTCTAAAAGCTTGTTCTTCTCTTTGAGCTTAATCGTGAGCTCTTAGTATTTTGGGAAGGACCTACCAAAATTTGATGTTTTGATTTCAATGTGATCACTCTTGATATAATAATGGATTCAAAAATTGATTTAATAATGGATTCAAAAAAAGGTCTTTCTGTCTTTGAGATTAAATTGGTTGAGAATTTACGTATTGCTCTAAGCTGAAACTTTTGCTGTCAGATGGAACATGGGGATAAGTTTTTCCCCAGTATGAATGTCAAAGATTTAAAGCAGGGTATTGGTTTATTTTGGTTTACTTGTGAACAAAGGGCGTGAAGTCCGGCATCGTCAGTAGGAGGAAGCAAGAAATGGTTGGGTTTTTTGGGTTTGCTTTTTTCTTTGTGATATTGATGCTTCTGGTTGCTGTAAACACTCCTGGAGGTTGGTGTTCTGCAGCAGGAAAGAAGAGTAAATTCCTCCCTTAGCCAAAATCAGGGAGATGTGATTTTGGCCTTGCGATAATTTCTGCCCTTTGGGCAGCTGTCGTTGTTTTGCTTGAATACAGAACCCTGAGAAATTTTAGATTGTAACCATTGGAAGGGAAATGAGGAGCAGCATCCACGTGCCAACAGGGTCTGCTTGAATCTCTGACAAATAACACCGTTTGTGAGGCAGGTGCTGTGCTCTGTCAGTGAGGTTTTCATGACACCTTCTGATCCTTGTTCGCTGTGCACGCTGTCATCCGCTGGCCCCAGATGTTACACAGTGGTTGTGTTGTGGAGATTGGTGATACCAGAGCGCCTGAAGCACAGAAATCAAGAACTAATTAAAGAGAGAGCACCATCAGCCATCTGCTATTCACCTCCTCCCCCCTGAGTCAGCCGTGGGGTGAAGGAGACACTCGAGCCGGCTCCTCTTCCAGCAGCTGACGAACTGGAGTGTGTCTTGCCAAACAAACTTCAACTGAAAAATACTAATTTATTAAGAAGGTAATTTATTTGCTGCGGCAGCTGGAGCAAGATGCTGGAAACAGACACCCCTGTCAGAGCTGTCAGAGGATGCCCCTGGGAGCTGCTGCACAAATGGAGGTTGCTAATGAGCAAACAGAACGTTATCATGACTTTCTACTTGTATCCCCCCGGGGTCAGATCCCACATAAAGCAACATTGTGTGAATAAAGATTTTAATAAAGCAACATTGATGGATTGTTTAAGTCTTTCTCTCCCTCCCCTGTCTGTCTCTCTCTTGTTCCAACATGTGGGCTGAATGTTTAAAGTGTTTTGCTGCTGCTGTTTCCCAGTTATTCCTTCGCTAATGGTTGTCAGTGGCCTTTATTCCAGTCGTGTATATCCAAGAACGGGGTCAAACATCCAGGTTGTTTGCAAGAGCCTTATTGGGAAGGGAAGAAGAGTGTCCCAAAGGTATACAGAAGAAAAGCACACCTAGATTGGAGTGGTTTTCTGACAGTGCATCCCATGGCCCTGCATCTGCCAAGCACCTGGGCTGAGTCCTTGGCTGTATCCCAATAGCTTGGCTTCGTTACATGGAGCAAGAGATGGATATGGAGTTGGCAAGAGATGCTTGCAGAGTTGGCAGGTGTTCATGGTTGGTTTTCCTAAGCTTTTATTGAGACAGAGCAGGTAAACAGCCCCCAAAATCTGCTCCCACTGAGTGCAGAGGTTTACTCAGACTGTCAGAGCTTGTTTTCTCAGTACCCCACTAGTGAGTGGGAGGCAGGAGGTGATGCAGTTGTGGATGTCAGGGGTCTTTGACCTGCCCTGTAGCATCAACATGGTTGTGTGGAACCTGCTTTTGTTTAAACTAGAGTTTCTCTGTTGAAACTCTGGACTTCAGCATTGTTGAATTCTGCAAGAACTGTTTTTTGGGGTTTATTTTGGGGGTTTTGTGGGGGAGGATGTTCTGGGTTTTTTTTTTTGTTTCCTAGCATTATGTGCTGGCAGTAACTTTTCTTATCCTCTGTCTGTGTTCTTGAGCTTTGCTCTGGGAACGGGACAGGATTTTTGCTTGTGTTTGAGCACTTCAGCAGCTACAGATGATTTTAAGGCTAAAATCGCCACTTCGGAGAGCTGTTGTTCCAAGCACTTTGTTGTGCTGTTATGTATTTTTAGAGTGGTTGGCCTTAGTAACAGGGTGAGAATTCCTTTAACTGAGAGGTTTCAAAGTGTTTCTGATTATGTAATGAATGTAATTTTACAGAAGAATGAACACAACACGAACAACTTTGAGCCAATGGAGAACAAAAGGGGGTTGAAAATAAGCACTTTCCCTGAACTTCTCAAATTCTTTCCCTACAAATTTTTTATTGAATCTAAAAATTAGAAATGAAAAGAAGTCTTTAGTTCATATATCCCAAATGTGGGACTGGTGACCTTTCTTTGTAGAGTCAAACTTTTTAAGAGACTGGGGATAGGACTTTATGGGGAAAAAAATGAAGGAGGGGAAAGGATTCCCCTCATATCCTTTATTCCAGATCTTCCTTTAATTTAGTGATCTAATCCACAGCTGTTATACTGAGCTCTGGAGAGAGAGTCTTCTCCTCCTGCCTTCTGTCAGAGTGCAGCTATGGATCTACAGAAGGAGTTGCTTTATGGAAAGTGGAAAAAGCATGAAAAGATGGGTGCATGGCATTTCCCTGGGCAGTGGATACAGCCTGTATGTAAAATCCTGGATTGCAAGGTTCCCTCTGAGTGTTTGCCTGTCCTGAGCTGCACTGGGGGGTGGAATAAGCAAGACATAACCTCATTTTGGTGGTGCTGTTTTTCTTTGTAGATGGCAGCTGTGCTGTAAGAGCTGAGCTGACCCGAGAGGGTGGAGTTTTAACCAGGTGGTTGCTGCTCACCAGGACTGACTGACAAATAACCAGCCATGAAGTGACAAGCTCATCCTTCCATCATCTCTGGGGACATGCAGGTCCCTGCAGCTGCTTCTTCTGCCAGACTCAGCTGAAGATGAGCAAATACTATAGTGAGGGTTCCAGCAGAGGAATCAAAAAATCCAGGTGCTTCCTAACCCCATCCTTCCCAAGGCAGGTAAGAGCTCTAGGTAAGAGCTCTAGCACAGTGCTCTAGGATCTCCTCCAGACTCCTGCAGCATCCCTTCTAATAGGGGGATAATCTCTTCCCTGAGGCCCCACAAAGGGAATTGAATTACTCAAGGAGGGTAATTCCTGCCCCCACAACACTTCAGTGCCTTGTTACCTGCAGGGGCAGGTCAAACAGGATCATAGACTCTTGGAGTGGTTTGAAGATCATCTTGTTCCACCCCCTCCCAGTATCCCAGGTTGCTCCTAGCCCTGTCCAACCTGGCCTTTAACCCTTCCAGGGATGGGGCAGCCACAGCTTCTCTGGGCAACCTGTGCCAGGGCCTGTTGAACAACTGGTTTTATTTTCCCTTCTAGCTCTTAACGATGTGCAGCACTTGGGCTAGGCTGACATCCCAGGAGTTATTCCCTGGTACCATGGAGCTGGAGCAGTGTTGGACAGTCAGTTTATCTTTCATAATTTTCTTTTTTGATAAGCTCTCTTCAGCTAAAGCACTTACCCTGGGAGGTCAGAGTTTGAATGTTACAGCTATGAATTTTTTTATAAATGTACATAAATTCTTCAGTTCAGGTGCTTCAACTAGTTTTCAGGAAGGCTGGCAGCAGTTTAATTTGCTATGGCTACAGCAAGTTTAATTTTTTTTTATTTTTTTTTTTTAGTATGCTGCACTGGTTCTAGTTCTGTTTAAGTTACTGCAGCTGGTGTTCAGATTGTAGCCTATTTTTGAACCTGGAGGGGGCAGTTTTGTTAATCCCAGTATTTTGAATGCCATTGTGTAATATTTGCAGCCACCTGTAGATGGTGATGCATTCCATGCCTGGGCTGCACCCCCCTTCCCATCCACTGGTACCAGGGAATTTCCAGGCTGGATGAATTGCATTTATTATCCCTCTTATTTTTATTTTTCTGAGCATATGGGATACCCTTGAAATCCTTTCCATTTCCAAAGCATCCTGGCCTTGTCTCAGTTAGGATAAGTTGTGGATGACCTTGTCCTGCTGCTCAGTAATTGTGGAGGCCTCAGTTTCTTACAGTAAGCCAGCAATGGGTACAGCTTAAGATAAAATGCAAGTTTTATGGGGTTTATCCACTTTTTATCTTCCTCCCACGGCCAAGTGTGTGTGAGTATACATTAACAAAATGAAAGCCAGGGACTGCATGGGATTCCAGGATCCCCTGCCAGAGCACAGTCAGCCCTAAGGAAGCAGTTCTGCTTCCCTGTACAAGAAGGGGTTTACCAATGGTTGGAGAAACTGGCAGGAGGAAGCTGGATGTTGGTGATGAGCTTGGTGGTGGCCGTGAGTTGTACCTGTCCCAGAGCTCTGATCTAATTCCTGAACAGAACTTGGAGCCCAGCAGGAACAAACAGCCCAGTGTAGCTCCTTGTGCTGCCGGGCTGACTCACCCACTGCCTCCTGCTCCCTCGTTTATGCCCGTTATTTTGGTATCCCCTTGGAAATGACTCTAATGAACAACTACCGCTGTGCCTTGCGTCTGTGGCAGCAAAACTTCGGCTGAGCCCTTGGGCTACTTAAAAACCAGATTATTTGCCTTCCTCAGCCACTTATTTGCCGGTGCTGCAGCTCTGTGGGAGCAGCCTGAGTTGGACTCGATGATCCTTGTGGGGTCCCTTCCAACTCGGAATATTCTGTGCAATCAGAAACAGATACTCTGTGAAACCAGGCTGGTAGCGGTGCCCGGGAGGTTCCCTGGGCATCTCTCAAGCTCCCGCCCCTCCCGGCCAGGGTTGGCCGGAGCTGAGGAGGGGCCGGAGTCCAACCCTGGCGCGGAGCAGGGACCGGAGGGTGCCAGTGGCTCCGGCCGGGGCCGGGTTTTGGGGTGTCCCGGTGGCTGTGCCCGGGCGGGTTTTGGGGTGTCCTGGTGCCGAGTTTTGGGGTGTCCCGGTGGCTGTGCCCGGGCGAGTTTTGGGGTGTCCTGGTGCCGGGTTTTGGGGTGTCCCGGTGGCTGTGCCCGGGCGGGTTTTGGGGTGCTGGCGGTGCTGACCCCGCCCCGCCGCGTTTGGGCAGCGCCGCCCATCGCGGACGGGAAGTGAGGTCACGGCTGGAGGGAGGCCGGGAGCCCGCGGGCAGATCCCGCAGAGCCAGGCAGGGTCAGCTCCCATCCCACGGGATCCCCGAGCCATGGCCGTGGGCCAGGACGGGCCCCCGGCTGGGCTGGGGCTGAGCTGCTGCGTCCTGGTGGTGCTGCTGCTGCTGGGGGGCTCGGGCAGCCCGGGGACACCGCCACCGCCACGGGCGACGTGGGCAGAGCGGCAGGGACACGGTGGGGAGGGGGCTCCGCGGGGCAGGGCGAGCTTCGAGGGGTACGAGGCTGTGAAGAAGCACTTGGGAGCCGTGGGTGCCCTCTCCAAGCAGTACTGGCAGTACCTGGCGTGCAAGGTGTGGAAGGAGGGCTGCGAGGAGGAGAAGGAGGAACAAAAAGAGCCCAGTCCCAGCCCAGGTAAGCACCTTCCTCCGTTCTCTCCCTCTCCCGTGCCCCAGAATGAGCACCACGTCCAAACACCCAGCACGGGGGTCTGTGCCCCCAGCTCCTGTGATGCTGCCTTTTCCTTCCCGAGGGTCACTGCCCTGGGCATCTCCCTCCTCAGTGTACCCCGGGTTGCCACAATCATGTCTTGCACCTGTTGGGCTCTCGGTGCCAGCTCGAACCAGGTGCTGCCTGTTCCGAGCTGATTGTCCCTCCCCGCAGCCAGGGCTGAGTCCCTTCACTTGGGAGAGGGCTGCCCTTCACAGGGTTCAGCTGGGTGTCTACTCAAAAGGCAAAAAAGCAACTTGCTGGAACATCTCTGCTCAGACCCTGCTGCCTTTTCCAGGCTGGAGCTTACCTCTGGTGGGCCAGGATTACCTGGAGATCCTCTCTGCCTGGTACTGCACCTTTGGCAAGTGCTGCGAGACAGGAGACTGCAGGATAGTCAACAACATCACAGGTAGGGGCTGTGTTGGCTTTGTTGTTTCTTTGTTTTGTTCTTTAATAAGAAGTGTATTTTAGCAAGTGATGTAAGTGAATGGCATTTCTGAGCAGGGTGCTGAGCTGTGGGAGGGCGAGGGGCTGAGCTGAGTCCTGTGTCCCATTACTTATTTGTAGTTCTGAGACTAGAGAGCCTTTGTCCCTTGCTCTGCAGTGTACCTGCTCCAGTTTGCCGTGAGCTCTGCCTGCATCCCCGAACTCCCAAGCATATGTAGGGAGATCCAAACTGGCCTGGGACCCTGCTCCAGGTTGGGAGGGTACACCCAGACCTGTGTGTTAGCCATGAGCAGGTGTCATTGTGTTCTGCTGTCCCTGAGACTCCTGGTATCCAAACCCTCTGCTGGAAGCTCAGGAGGGCCTTTGGGCATCGGTGCTCTCCACAGCTGCCAAACACCTCCACCTCTTCCTGAAGGAAAAAAGGAGTCAGTGGAAAATTTGTGTCTTTCTGGGGCCAGAGACTGATGCAGGCAGGGCACGGGCAGCCTGTGGCTTTATTGCCCCTTCAGACTCCTCTTGGCCAAGCAGCCCTGCCCCATTTTGTCTCCTTATTCCCACCTGCAGCAGCTGGGCTGGCAATTTAAGGCTGAGCTGCTGCTCTCTCTGTGCAGGGCTAGAGGCAGACCTCAGTGAGCAGCTCCACGGGCAGCACTTGGCCAAAGAAGTGGTTGTTCGGGCAGTGCAGGGATTCCTGCAGAGCCCACAGCCTGAGAAGGCGCTGGTCCTGTCCTTCCATGGCTGGTCTGGCACTGGGAAGAACTTTGTGGCCCGGATGGTGGCCAGTCACCTGTACCGGGATGGGCTGAGGAGCGACTGCGTCAGGGTGTTCATCTCCCTCCTCCACTTCCCCCACCACAAGTACCTGGACTCCTACAAGGTGAGAGCCAACAACACAGTGTGTCCGTGGGGATGGTTCAGTGTGCCAGGATGGGATGGGATGGAGTTCGTTTCCTTCACGGCAGCCCACACAATGCCGTGAAATTTGGGACTGTGAGTGAAAGTGTTGATACACACCAGTGTTCTGGGTGCAGGTGAGCAGTGCTTGCACAGACTTCAAGGCTTTCCCCTTCTCCCACTCTGTCCTTGGAGTCAGTTAGGCTGGGAGTGCACAAGAAGTTGGGAAGGGGCACACCAGAGAGGTGACCAGAGGGATATTCCATGTGATTTACTGTTGTGCTCACCAACAAAAACTGCGAGGGAAGGGGGTTTGGGGCAGGAAGCCATTGCTCAGAGACTGACTGGGCACCGGTCTGTTTGTGGCAAGTGTGGGTGGCTGCCTTTGCACCACTTCATTTCTTTCTTTCCTCTTTCCTTCACTTATTAAACTATTTTTATGCCTCACTCGTTTTCCTGCCTTTGCTCTCCCTGTTCTCTTCCCTGTCCCGGGGACGAGGGATCAGCTGTTTGTTAGCTGCCAGGCAAGGTTATCCCGTGGCATCCTGGCTCAGTCCCAGGGGCTCCTGAGCCCTGTCCCTGCTCCACAGGCCCAGCTGCAGAGGCAGCTCAGCGAGACCCTGCAGCTCTGCAGGCAGTCCCTCTTCATCTTCGACGAGGCCGAGAAGCTGCATTCCAGCCTCCTGGATGCCATCAGGCCCTTCATGGCTCCCTACGGACACGAGGGCCAGGCAGACCAACAGAGAGCCATCTTCCTCTTCCTCAGGTGATTTCTGGGCCCCCAGAGGGATGGGGAGGAAGTAAGTGATGGAATTAATCCCTTGAGGTGTGCAATATGAAGGGCCCAGGCTGCAGGGGAGGGGACAGATGTCTTGTTCCCACAAGGTGGTTGCCTCTGTGGTCAGTTTTGCCTGCTGATGCTGGGTGTCCACCCTGGGAGCAGGGCACTTGTAGGAGGAGCTGAGGTCCAGCTGAGCTGGGACACCTGAGCCAGCGTCTGGGCTTTGAGACAAGGAAGCAGAGTGAGAGTCAACATGGTGCCACCCTGCCCAGCTGAGCAGATGTGACACTGCAGGGGGCAGAGCTGGGGCTGCAGGTCTTGGTGGGAAGTTCCTGTGCTCTGCTGGGAGATGGGGAGTTCCCACTGCCTGGACATGGCTGCTGGTGGAGATGCTGTGAGGGCTGATCCTGGCATCAGCACATCCTGTGCTTTACTTGGTTCCTTTCCCATCCAAAGGGAGAAGGGACTCAGGCACGTGCGCACCCCAGTGCTGTCCCTGACCCGAGCCTAGGTGGGATGCAACTGGAGGGAGAAGTGGGACATCCCAGAGCCAAGATGTGAGGCAGGCACCTGTCTAAAGTAGCCTCTGAGGAATGCCATGGAATGACCAGCTTCTTGGGCTGCCTCGAATTTTGGAATAGCAACCTGCAGCTTGGCTCTGGCAGGAGCTGTTCCCACTGCCTGGAGGTGGGCAGAGCACTCCTCCACCCCCCACCATCCAGACAAGTGCTCTAACCCCCAAGCTTGGTGGTTCCCTGGGGAGGTTTCCCTGCCTGTGGAGGAACTGTCTGTGTGCCCAGTGCCTGTGGAACTGACCCTGTTCCAGTTCCCTCTGCGTGGGGCTCTGGCAGGAGCCGTGGTGAAAGGGCAGGTCCTGCCCTGCTGCTGTTGGCTGCACTGGGCTGACCTCGTGTCCTGCTTGGCAAAGCCAGGAAGGTCAGGAATGGACACGTCACCGCCCTCGTGCCACCAAGCAGTGGGAGCAGGGGGCCTTGAACTGCAGCAGTGTGTAATCCCAGGGGTTTCATCATCCCTGGTGGCAGTGTGGTCACTGTCATACTGACCTGTTGTAGGAGGGTGGGCTCTGCTCCAGGGCTCCCGTGGACACTGGCATGGTCCTGCAGCTTTGACCAGGTGTGGGAGTTGAGGATAGGATGGGACTGGCTGCCTGTCCTCAGTCAAAGGGGGCTGTTTCTCCTGTGTTCTGGGTTGGGAGCAAGATCAGTACAAACTCTTCTGCCCCTAACAAGGCAGCAGGGGGTGGGGAACAGTGTTGGCTTTTTAATTTTGCCTCCCCTCCATTTGGGCTCCAGAGCCTCTGACATGAGAGGAAAGGATGTGTGCAAGGTCTGTGTCTCCCACAGCCTCCCTGCCTCCCACCCACACAAGCTCTGCAGCCAGCTGCTGCTTCCATCATATACCAGTGGTTCCCAGTATCTCCAGTTAACTGGGGCACTCAGGGCTGGGAGCAAACCCCTCACCAGCCTGACCTGGACCTGCTTCTCAGGGTGAGGGGCTGCCCTGCGACCCTCAACAGCTGTCAGGACTTCTCATCCCCAGGGCAGAGCTGCCCCTAAGGTGGGTCTCCAGAGGAGTCCTTATATGGAGACTGCTGCTGCTTTATCCCAGGGCAGGGGATGCTTTGCCAACTCCTGGGCTGCTGCCTGAATCCCTGCCTTTGCTTCCAGTGGGCCTCCTCTGTGTGCTCTGCCCTTTAACTTGGACTTTCATTGGTGGTTTGTTGGCGGTTCAGTGTGGGTCAAAGTGCCACCTGTGAGGTCAGTGGCTTCCCAAGCCAGGAGAGGGGACTGAGGGAGATGGAGAATTCTGCTGCCCCCGGGTCTGAGCTGGCAGGATGGCAAACAACTGTATCAGTGCCTATGGAAAGGGGCTCCTTGGGAAGAAGGCTGGGTCCATGTGCTGATCCTAGACAGTGAATCATCCGTTGCTAACAGAGGTGCTGGGGCCTGGCTGTAGGGGGCCTGCTGGCAGCTCTCGGCAGTTCACCTCTGGGGCCACACTCGAGTGACTTCCCTCTGTGTCCACAGCAATCTCGGTGGAAACACCATCAATGAGGTCGCCCTGGACTTCTGGCGAGCCGGCCGGGCCCGGGAGGAGATCTCCATGGAGTTCCTGGAGCAGCGGCTGCGGCTGGAGCTGCAGGAGCCTGCAGGTGAGAGCTTGTGGCATGCTGGGGGTTGTTCTGCTTGCAAACTTGTCCCTCTGCACCTCCCATCCAGTGTGTGCCACACAGGGCTGGGCACTGGGAACAAGCCTTCACTCCACCCCCAACCAGGGGGTTATTGGCAACGTGAGCCCCTTGGGCCCCGTGAGCACAGCACTGCTGTGACAGAGAGCACGTGAGGAGGGAGGTGAGAGCCCTCCTGGGCCCCCTTGAGCCCCAAAAATGGCCAGGGAGAGGCAGCCCAAGGCTTCTCTGGGGCTTCAGGTATCTCTTGGCATGAGCTGTAGGGACACACTGTGCTCAGGCCAAGTGCTGACCAGATCTGTACAAGTGGGTGTTTCTCTCCCACAAACACAGGGCGGGATGAGCCCCTCGGAGCCAAGCCTTGCCTTGCAGAGGGGTGATGCTCTCAGGTGAAGCTTCTGAGTTTTTGTCTTGTGTTCCATTCCAGAGAACAGTTATGCCCACAGCCACCTCCTCAGAGAGAACCTCATTGACTTCCTGGTGCCATTCCTGCCCCTGGAGTTCCACCACGTGAAGCTCTGCGCGCGGGACGCCTTCCTGGCCCGGGGACTTCCCTACTCCGAGGCCACCCTGGACGAGGTGGCCAGGATGATGGTGTTTGTCCCCAAAGAGGAGAAGCTCTTCTCTGCACAGGGCTGCAAATCTGTGCCCCAGCGCATCAATTACTTTCTTCCTTGAACACCAGGTGGGACTACATATGTGGTGGAGGTGGTTCTGCACTCTGGGAGCTGCTCCCCTTGCACAAGGTTGGGCACACAGGTGACCCAGCCAGGCACTTGCATGGGGACAGAGACTCAATCCCTCCTTACTCCAAGGGCTGTTGCAGGGAAGGAGTTGCATCCCACCCAGCTTTACTCCTGGGACGTGGGGACAGCCTGTGCTTGGCTGTGTTTGGAGTCTGTCTGGTGTTTTAAGTCTCTTTTAGGTGGCAGTGGCCTGAAGGGGAGATTGGGTTGTGCTGACAAATGCTGTTTCATGTGAGTGGAGACTGGGAATATCCAAGTTCTTGGTTTGCTGCCATGTGGTGAAGGCAGGCCTGGGACAGGCTGGTCCTGTTCAGACAGTGCAGCAGAAGCCACGTCCTCGTCCCTGTCCCCAGTTCTGTCACTTCACAAGATCACACAGAACTGTTTTGCTGGAATTAAATTTTTCCCTCTGTTGCTCTCGTGCCTTCCCAAGGTGTTTGCTGCTCAGGGACACGCAGACCAGGATCATGTTTGTGCATGGAGAAGAGGACTGAATAATCTCCTCTGGAGATGCCAAATCCATAACTTCTCACCTCGGAGTGTCCATCTCTCATTGGAGTCTTCTGTTGTACGGAAGCAGTGCAGGGATGAGGGGAACTTCTGCTGCAATCATTTTCTAAGCAGTTTGGTGAAGGGCCCTTTTGCTTTACTGCAAAATGAAAAAGGGGAGAGAATTCCTCTGCCAGGGGAAAAGGACCGGGTGAGCAGGATGGGGGCTGAAGGAACAGGCTGTAGGTGAATCCGTGATTTCACGGATGCAGGAAGCTTGGGTTTTTTCCTTTGTTCTTCATTTTTCTCTTATGTTTCATGCTGTGTTTTTTTGGCTGGTATCAGCATTATTATTACCATTACAAGGGCCTGTTTGCTGTCTGGGTACTCGCCAGGTGATAAGTGTGTTACAGCAGCTCCAAAAAATTTCAACAGTGTTACAGGAATCACTTTGTGACCTCTGGGTCAAAACTCCCTTCCAACAGAGCTGTGCTGGCAGTGAGTGAAGCAGCACATGCTTGGCTTCCCAGTCACTCCCACGGGGGACCTTTGGTCTGTTTTAAGCTTTGACCTGCTTTGTGGTGCCAGTGAATGAGCAGCACGACCTCTGGGAAAAGATTGACCAGACTCACTTACGAGTCCTGCAGACTTTGAGTCCGTGTTTCCCTCTGGGCACGCTGGCTCCGTTATCTTAGGAGGCTTCATAGTCCAAGGCAGGAGGATGAGCCAGCTGCTTTCCTACTTGGCTTAAACTTAGCTCTTGTCTGGAGTGGACCTTAGGGTTGTTGCCTGTGTGTGTGATCAGGCATTTCTGACACTTGGTTTATGGTTAATCTCTTAATCACAGGTGTCAAAAATCTGGGAAACATCAGAATCCTGGAATGGCACTTTGAGAAGGGAGGATGCTGTCCCACAGGACACAACTTGGGTTGTGTTTTATCACCTGAGCAGAAAGTTTAGCAGGTTGTTAGTTGAAGGTTAGTTGCTCAGAAGGTTGAGTAAAGCCAGGATAACCTGGGATTCTTTTTTAAATATAAAAAAGCCTCCAGCTGTCTGGGTTAGGCTGACACTGCCTGGGGTGGCAGGAAGTCAGAGTGAATGTCTCACTGGTGTGAGGTTGGCATGTTGAGCAGCTCTTGCTGTGGTGATGGTGTCACTAACGAGGGTGATGCAAGACCTGTCTGCCGGTCATGTGTGCGTGTCACAGTTGAGGGAGCTTTGATTACACAACCCCAACAGCCAGAGCCGTTCTCTGACCATGCCGTGGCAATGCTGTGTGGTTTCAATGACATAAATAAAGATACTGTGGGTTTTTTTGTTTGGGTTTTTTTTTTTCAATCTGGCAGAATCAAATTCTCTTTTTAAAACAGGCTTACAACAATCTTCTCTTTCCTACACAGTTAGCAAACTTTAGGTTAGGACTGAGCAGCTTCAAATATCACCTAAGGAAAAAAAAAAAAGGCAGCATCTACTCAAGTGGTTTTTGCCAATAAAATATTGCAACCTTTATTTAAAATAAAATGCAAATTGGCAAAACTTTGTGGAACGACAGGCAAAGAGGCCCTTCCAAGGGCCTTATTTACATCAAGTTTAACACTGTTCGCAGTTCACAGTCAGACAATAGTGAGAGAATTAAATTAGAAAACCAACCAAAATATATTACAATAACAATTAAAAAACAAGACCAGTTGACAACACTGGTAGAGTGATTGGTGATTAACGTGTTCAATTTTAATTCATTCCTGCCCTCAACGAGTTCACTACCGATACAACCAACGTGCCGTGCTGAGCCCATCGGCCTCACAACAGACACACGGGGAGAACGACCTCCTTTGGTACAGACATTGCTCAGTTGTCCCAGAAACTCTCGTTACCTGCCTCCAGGGAATGGGCTGAGGGGCTTGTTCTACACTCCAGGGAACTGCAGCATGATCCCAGTGCCACCAGTGCAGGACAGTGCTGGTGGAGGTTTCCATGTTTGCTGCAGTCACCACCTTTCAGTACCTGCCAGCTCCCCATCAGCAGCCGGGCTGGGCTGAGTGTGCTACAAGAGGAGACAGCAGCCTGTGGGCTCTGCAACAACCATCTTCTGGAGCTGTTGGTGCTTGTCACAGCTACGGATGCCCCGGAGCCAAAGCCTGCCTCAGGTAAGTGGTGGGATGCCAGGGATTGCTCTGTGGCTGCACAGTGTAACCCCTCCCACCCCTCATTCTCCCCCTGCCTGGTAGGGAGGGGCTGCTCTGTGTCCCCCCCCTTGCTGTGGGGTTTAGTTCCTGCTGCCCACAGAGCATGGTCTGCCCCATAACTCCTGCATAAACCCACGTGGTGGATGTCAACATGCACGTATTGGGCTGTGTGTCACTGACACGAGGCCAGTGGTGCTCAGGAGGAACATCCTGTGTGAGGGGGACAAGGACAGCCCTCCCTCCCTGTTGTGTTCTGCACCAGCAACGCTGCTCCTTTCAATTCCCCTTTCCCAGTGGCTAAATTTGGTGCAGTCCCACACCCAGACTCTTGGCTCAGCCTCACCCCTGTCCACGCTAACGAAGAACATGATTAAATCGAGTGCACTGCTTAGGGATCAAAAAGGGTGTACAGTGCAGGAAGAACAGAGAATTGCACCTGTGAGTCAGCTAATTCCCACAGTGGTAGGAAGAGAAAGTGCCCCACTGAGCTCACTCTGTGAGCACACACTGTGCTTGGCATTACTGGGTCTGACGTGGTGCCACCCGTGTTGCAAAGACAATGACTTAAATTGCAGCCCATACTAGTGCAAGTGAGAGAGCTCAGCTGTGACAGTGTCCGTGCCCCCATGGCTGCCTGACAGTACTGGGGAGAGGAAACAACAGGATCCATGCCTTGTCCCCTGCCCCAAACAGTGGAGCAAGAAGCGCGCTCAGCTGGGACAAGTAACAGTGTTACCACCCGTAGGATCCTTTGCAAGGCTGAAAGCAGAGAACTGGCCACAGTGGAGACCTTTAAGGCTGAAGAGAAAGCCATGCCTGGCTAAAGGAGAGGGAACAATTTCAGGAGCAGCTGTGGAAGGAAGAACAGCTGGACAGTGATTTACAGCAGAACCAGCTTCCCCAGACAGCATCCTTGTGCTATCCTGCCAGATGGCAGTTTGGGAATAAAACACTGTGGGGCAGGAGAAGCAAGAGCAATTCTGCAGCCTCTTATTTAGAGGGAAAGAACCTGCTGTCAGGTCAGCACTACCTCTGCCACCACCTACCTACCTGACATACAATGATAGGTAAGAGCAGAGAAAATGCTCTCCATGGGAGTGACAACAGGCAAATTCCCATGTTTTTCCACCACAGGAGGGATCAGCACTGAATGGCTCCTGTGTTGGGCACTCAGGTTGTGGAGTCTCCATTCTTGGAGATACTCAAAAGCTGCCTGGACCTTGTCCTGGGCAGTGGCTCTGGGTGGCCCTGCTTGGGCAGGGGGGTTGGACCAGGTGATCTCCGAAGGTCCCTCCAACCTCAGCCATTCTGTGACTCTGGAAAAGCAGTCGGATGCTGCCCTGGCCCACTGCCCATCTCTTCTGTGGGGGAAGAAGAAACCAAGGTGGCATCTGAAAGGAAGTGGGGATGGCCAGTGGAGAGGAACCAGTGCTTTGTTGGGACACAGCTGGTTTCTTCTGAAAGGGCTGCAAGAGGAGATTTCTAGTAGTTAGAAATTCCATATTGCTATTCTCTCACTTTTGCTGGAGCTTTTCTGGAAGACTGGCATTCAGGAAAAGAAAAGGCTTCTTAAAAAATACTCATCAGAACTGGACTAAGCCTTAAAATGTTGTGGTTAATATATCTTTCCCCTAGGAATCTCTTCAGTTTGAGCCCCTTTGTCCTTGGCTGAGCAGCAGTACAACGATGACACTACAGCAGATGATTGTCTGCCAGGGCAAGCAAGACCTGCCCTTCTGCCCCAAAGAAACCTCCCCTACCTTCTAAATCCTTCTGATTGTTTGACAGGCCGTGTGAAGCAATGCCACAAGCAGCCTTCCCTTTGCAGATCACCTTTCCAAAGGCAGGTAGTTTGGATGCACACCTTCCATAAAGATGACTGAAAGAGATAAGGTAAACCACAAAAGCCCTCAGTAAAGTCTACAAGATAAAGGGTTTGGTGCTCAGCTGAGTGTGGCTGTGGAAGAGCCCCCAGGGGATCCTGGGCACGCTGGATCCTGATGCAGAACTGGACAGCACAAAGGGCTGCTTGGTTCTTTTTGTGCCCCCTCATTTCACTTGGCCAGAGAAGCTCATGTGGTCCAATTGTATGTTACATGCTGCTCCTCTGCTGTGCCTCCACACACCGTGACACAACGTTGTTTGCCACAGACCAGGAATAAAAGGAGGATTATCAGACACCAGCCCATTTCTAAAGATTTTTCAAGGTTCCTGTTTCACTGTGCTCTGTGGGAAAAGCAGGGACACCCACTAAGACAGCCCAGCCTCCCCAGCACCAACAGGGTTATGCTTCTAGACAGCAGTGGAAGTGCTCACCTTCCAAAGTCACACCTGGCCCCAGCTCCACTCCAATTGCTCCACTCTAAAAGCAGCACAGTCACACTTTGAAAACAAGTTTAAAGAGCATTTTAGCCAAAAATAAAAGATTTAAGGTGCAAAGCAAGCGAGATCCTCTGTCACCAACAGTGTGAACAGCAGGGTGATGTTTATTTGGAGTCAGGTATGAGGCCTGTGTCCTTCCTCTCACAAACCAACAGGCGAGGTCTCCCTACTTGCCAGCACATCTACACCTTGGGAAGTTGTCCGTAGACACAGAAGATCAGCTCTGTGAGGCCACAACAGCCTACAAACAGCACCAGGACCAAGGGAGACAATGTCAACCCCTCAGCTGCTCTGACTTTGGGACTGTGAGAAGGCATCAGAGACCCAGTGGGGGCCCTTCAAGGCAGAGCCATAACTTCTGTTGTCACCTCTCGGGCAGAGGAGTGCACAGTTTATATGCATGTTCCCTACAGCACAGAACAGGATTCTGGCCTAGCCTTTAAAATACAGGAAAAAAATATAGAGAGATGCTTGTGCTTCCCCTGTGTGCTGCCATGCTTTGTCACCTTTGGATGCAGGGAAGCTGGAAGCCTGCAAGACCGGTAAGGGCTAGAACAAATCCCAGGAATCTGGCGCTGTGAAGGGACAGCTCTGGGGAATCCCTGTGGTGGGCAGGCCAGGCTGTACTTCCTGGCTCTCCAGCTGGCCCTGCAGCGCTGGGACTGCTAAAGGAATGTGGAGAACAGCCAGGGGTGGTGGAAACTCTGCCTGACCTACAGTGGGTCCTCAGGGGGATCAAACTGAAATGGGGAGTCAACCTGGTAACAAGTTAAAAACAATCTATAGCGTAAAAAAGAAACAACCCACCCACCCCAACAACAACACTGGCAAGTTGTGCAAGAGCCCCAAACTACTCAAAAACGACCATCAAGCAGCACCCGTGCTAGACCACTAGAAATAGGTATCAGTGAGTGAAGGCTGTGTGGTGGGGAAGGGGGTATTCCAGTGGTAAGTCTGCCCAGCATCCCTGACGCTTCCGACACAATGATGATGAGAACGTGGTGGATGAGGTGGACAGGAGGGAAAAGGGATAGTTTCATATATTAACTAACTTTGCAGTTCTCATTACAGCAGCAACAGTGCTGTGGAAGTTAAGCCATCCAGGCTAGTGCATCCACCTCCAGCAGCTCTGAACACTGTCAGTGCATTAGACCTTCCCCCCAACTGCACGTGACCCTCCCTCGGGAGCCCCTCCGGCTCCGACTGCTCGGCCGTTGGTACCAGTGGAGCCCCAGTGCTTTTCCTTTGCCTTGTTGGGAGAGCAAAGCACCCGTGAGTGCAGACAGGGCAGGATCTGTACAGCAGAGCAGCCTGCAGCCACCCCAGTACTCTGGCTGTCACATCAACCATCCTTCCCAGAGCGAGAACCTGCCATCGGTTCTCCTGCCTCTCCAAGGGAGGAGCAAGGAACTGCCTTTCCTTGCCACACCGAGCAGATCAGCCTGATTAGGTGGGGACAGATCCTCGATGTTTGCTTTAATCTACCCTCTCCATCCCCATTTCTTTGAGATGAACCTGTAAACGTGAGGAGAACTCAGTGATCTGAGGTACTTCACATACTCAAGTATCAGTCTTTCCTTTTGAAAGCATCAGTACAGAAAAAAAGTCCCCCCCTCCCCGTGCGTGTTTCTCTTACCCAGATGGACAGTAGCTACCTTTGCACCACGTCGCTGATTTCTTGGACACATGACAATAAGTTATTAAGGACGGGGTTTGCCCCGGGCACGCCGGCAGCTGTCGAGGACACCT